ACCAGCTAGGAAAGAAGATAAAAAAAAGAGAAAAACAACAAAACAACCAGATAAAGATTCCCAAGTATCTACCCAAGGAGTTAATGCAATGGGGTATATGTGAAGGGGTTAAAACACTACACAGGTACAGATCCTGTGCAATTACAAATGTTATTGAAATAAAAACCAGAAACAGGAAGCCAAAAAACAGGTCCCTAAGGCAGGCATCTGTCTTAAATGATATCATTTGTCAAGTTTCCAGCATCTTGTGGTTGTGAACACAAAAAGAAGTTCTGTGTTATACTAAGGACATTACATACTCATTAGTTGGAATGTTTCTGAAGTACATAATACAGGATTTTCATTTAATAAGAAGCAGCTACTTGCCACTGCGTTGTACATAAAGTACATTCTGGGCATGCTAATTGCCATTCAAGGATGTTCTACCTAATTTTTGACAGGCTTTTCTTCCCCCTCCCTCATCCCACCCTTCTCCCCCCCCTCCCCCCGCTTTAGACTACACTGTAAAAATTGTGAACAGAATGTATTGCTATAGTTTAGAAATCTTTTTAGAATATTTTCTTATTTCTGAAATCTGGATTCCTGCAATGATGAATATTGAAGGCTTTAATGCAGATATTAAAGAAAAAAAGAAAAACAAATTACCTATAGGAATATTGTAGCAAGGAGTAGCAAGAAAGCAAGTACATACATATATATATATATATATAAATATACATATATGTATGTATCTCAGCACAGTAAGTCTTCAAATCATCACCTCTCCCCCACCTCGAAGAACAAACGTAACTGTAATTAATTGGTATAGTTCCTCTATCTGAAGACTATTAGTGCATTAGAGTTAACTAATATATAAGCTTCCCCCTCGCTGCCCTGCCAATGACCTTAAGCTTCACATGGTAGGAAGGCCACTTGCTGCAGAATAGAAGAGTAATTTATCCACCATGATTGTTCAGCCCTGGCCCCTCTGTAAAACAGCAAATGACAATTGTGCTGTATTATGTATGGTACATTTGTGGTGTGTACAATAGTGTGCAGAGCATCAAACTCACTTCCCTAATACTGCAGGCAGGGTTTGAAAAGTGATCCTAGAAAGAAGAGACCACTTGCTGAGCGATGGCCCTCCATTTTCAATTTTTTTTTTTTTCCCTCCAAATATCTTGCCCCCCTTTTTTTTTTGTGCCCTGAAGAGAGACCAGTATAATTTTCTCAGCTTAAGTAAAAGCAGTATGTAGTTTTCCATTCATAAAAGTATGTTATATTAAAAAAAAAAAAAAAGAAAAAAGGTTACTTTGCTTTTATTTTACCTGGGATATCCCTGCTTCTTTCCACATTTCAGGATTTAGCATATTCCCTCAAAACATAATAAATTTCTATTCTGTAGCTTAAGGGATCCATCAGTTAAAATGTTAGTCTTTCATCTTTATTACCCTCCCATTAAAATGAAAGAAACCGGGACACACTTCAGTTTAGAAGCAGCAATTTAGTTGGTAATGTCCTTACTACTCAAGTCTTTACAAAGAGAGAAAGTGCATTATTGCTTATATTTCACACATCTATCTGCATAAGAAGCAACTAAAGCTTTCAGACACATACAATGTTAAATTTAATAATATTCTTTGATTAGATTATTTTATTACAACATTTTTCCATTACCAGTCATTTCCCGTACACATTTACATTCATAAAACCTGCAGGTTTTTCTTTGTTTGTGTGTGTGTGTGTATATGTATTCATAAAGCAAGGAAAAGATTTTCTGGTTTGCTACAGCTGTTAGATTCGAAAAGAACAGATTAATAACTAGCCACCACGTAGGACTAGGTTTTCTTGTACACTGCACCAGTAACCCTTTGCTATAATGAGGACACAAAGAGGCTCACATGAGGCTGCTCCTCTTCTTCATAACTCAAAAGCGTCACAGTGGCAATAGCCTCTAGTGCTATTTGTCTTTAGTGCAGTTGTGACACTTCGGCATGATCCATAATTTGGCAGCTATTTACCGTGACATTTCCCTTCAGTGCAGCCATAACATTCAGTGAAGCCATTATTTGGTTCCATTTACCATATAAATTGTATTGTCGTGCATGCATGCTAGCAGCTACATTAGGTACCTGAAAATGAGTAAATCTTGTAAAATAGATACTAACAGCTATTCAGCAGAGAAATTTCTTTACTCCTCAGACAGAAGTAGGAATATATATAATATCTGCAAACACTACTGCAAACTTCTCCTTCAGAGACTGTAATTATTTGTATTTACATGACGCAGCAGTTATTCATATCCACTTATTAAATACATACATTATATACACACACGCACATATATATGCAAACGTACAAATACGCAGGAAACAATTGCTTGGTAGAAATCTAACTTAATTCAGAAAGGTATTAGGAGATTCCAGCATAGCAATTAAGTAGGAAGCATATCTGTAAAATGTGCTGAGGGTTGCAGGCCAGGAGCGAGTGAGTACGTGTGTGTCCATGTGCGCGTGCGTATGCACACATGTGACAGACTCAGGAAAAAAGCCAGCTCTTCATCTAGTTCTTTGTTGTTTTTCCATGGAAGCATATGTGTGTAGGAAAGGGAAATTCTGTTATTAGCCTCAGCAAACAATGCCAGATTCCTCTGCAGCAAATTCATTTAGAAAGGTAAAATTAGGATGTAGTGCTAGCAACCACATCTCAATGAGCTGCTATTATTAATAGTATTATTATTTAAATCCCTGCTCTCTACATATAGTATACTTAGTACTTCCCAGGCAAATGTATTATTATTTTTAATCATTTAAGTCCCCACTGTGCACACAGCTTTTAATACACCTTTTTTGCAAGCATATTAAGTGTATTGTTATTAATCCCTTGCTGTGACTCTACAGTATTTCTTTTCCTTGTATGTTCAATGTCCTATCATCATTTAAACCTCTCTGTGTGTGCATGCCATATACATTTTCCTATCCATCTAATATTTAAACATTATTTAAATCTGTCATAGCTTACTTACTCAAAGTCAGTCCTGCTCCCTAACTGTAACTTTCCAGAATATACTTTTAAAAAAGAGAAGTTGGCTTTCTTTCTCCTTCCAAACCAAAAATTATTATGAACCTCAGCAGAAAATCCTTATCTGTGTGTTTCAGAAATACTTTTCATACTCTCTTCATCAATAATGCTCTCTTTCAGCAATCTAAAAGATAGAAGTTGTATTTTTAAAAACAAAATTACTTCTTCATTCTGGATTCATTCATGGAAAAGCAGTTGTGTATCCTGAGTTACCCCTTTAGTTTAACATAGGCATTTCATGAAAAGGACAAGCCCAATGGCCTTAGCCCAGCCCAAACGCCAAAAGGGCTACAAAATTAGTATATTGGCTATACAAGTTCTGCATATAACAAATGTAAACTTTTTATCAATGCTGTAGTAAGTATGAAAGTGCTAAATAGTAAACCTGAAACCAAAATTAAAACCAACAAAATGTCATATCTGAATGTGTGAACCTTTCAAAGGTTCCCCTCTTCCCTTATTTTGATCCGTGAAAGAGCCTGGGGCAGTTGCATTGCCCAATGTTATATATGAAGTAACATATTAAAAAGAAAGTAGAATGCTGGATGTCCAAACAGAATCATGTTACAAGAATAATTTTTTATGACAAAAACATTTGAAATTCACTGCCTTGGAAACACCTAAATTGATTGGACTGATAAACAGATCAACATCTCTGAAAACTGGGCCACTAGGATGGGTTTTGGCACTTGACTGCAGAACTGAATTTGAAAAATTGTTACCCAGTCAACTCTTCTGTGCATATCATAGATGTAACCAACTGTATTATTTTTATTTTGCCCTAGTACCTCCCAAACAGCTTTTTTTTTTTTTTTTAGATGTATTTATTGACCAAGGGTACCACCTTTTCTCTAAACAAGAAAAGAAACCACGTGCCTAGGAATAAGACAGTGAGAACTTTGTGTGCTTTGATCTTGTACAATGCTTGAGTCTTTGCATCTTTCTAGAATCCAGTTGGAAGGCCAACATACCTTTCTAATTATGCAAAACACACAAAACACCACAGTATTTGTAATATTAGAGGGGAAAGAGGAAGTATAGTTCTAACAGCAGATCTGGGTGAAAACAAAAGTCATAGTGGTTTGATGCTCAGCTTGAGTAAAAGAGAAATGGAAAAAAGATTCAAACCAGTCTGCCTTTCCTCAAAATCCTCTAAAGCAGGACTAAACCCAGTAGTCAGACATGGCCCAAAAAAAGGGTCAGTTCTTTGTTGCACACAATTCTTTAGGATGCTAGTGATATATGCACTAAAAAAAAATACAATGTGTTAAATCAAAGTTAAAAATACTTTTTCTACTGCCTGTACTATTGAGTAAAATATAAGTTTTCTCTACATGTCAATTTTAAAAACGTTGTGTACAGTCAGTCCTGAATAAAGCCCAAAATTAAGTTTACCCTGGATTTTTTTCCTTCAACTCCTAGACTTTATCAGTCTATGTTTATTATTAGGTGTATGATCTTAAGAAATTTCCATTTCTCCAACGGGATACAAATGTATCATTTCAAAAGATGTGGCAAAATTGGCCTTAAAGATCTTAAACTTTTGATATGGGAAAAAGATGTAGAGCAAGCACAGTTTAAAATATTTTATTGTTCTGGAAAATATTACACTTCTAGCTGGAATTCCCAATCTATGTACCGTTAATAATATCTATTAGGTGAGGGAGAATTTTCAAAACTTTACAAAACCTTTCAACTGCACCCACTAGATAACCAATGGCTGAGCGTCAGTATGTGTATGAGGAACTGTGACTGTAGATTTAAAATGGTCTTGCTGTTTGTAAAAGGTCTTCTGTAGAAGCAATATTCAGTAAAAGTAGCAGCCCGATTATGAGAAGTCATATCAAGAATCATCAGTCAAAGCACTCTACAACACAGAGATTATCTATAAAGGAGCTAGTCAGCAAGAACTGTAGCAATATGAATAAAGGCCACAAATATTTAAACAGATTTTAAAACTTTATTAAATCTTCAAAAAATATACAGGACCTGAACACAGGTGAACATGGCTCAAACCCCAACTCCAGTAATCTTGCAATACTGACTAAAGGGGAGATGGACAGTAAACAGTAACAGTAGCAAAAGAAAAGGAAAGAAAATGAGATTATGTTGCAACTTGTAGTTAAAAATTTAAAAGAAAATTGAACAGTTGTTTATAGTTACGAAAGACATAATTTTAAAAAGTCAAGTTGCTTTTCTTAGTATTACTGACATGTCCGAATTGGAGGATAAATTTCCCTGTGTAACCACTCAAGGAATATTACTGTGATCCATGATACAACTGAATTATGATTCTCATGTTTGTAACAAAAAAATCAAGAGCCTATTTTTTTTCCAGAAACTTCAAGAGATTAATACAGCAACTACAAGATACAACTCATTACTTAGTCTTGTTTTAACAATTTTATTTTTAAATCAGGGAATCAAAATTGCTGAAAGACTTTTTTTTTTTTTCTGAGCTGAACTATATATAAAGTCTTATCAAACCAGTCTGACAGACTAAATCTGCCTCTGCACCGAGACTTATTCTGTCAAGCACAATGTTCCTGTCTCACACTAGCCTAAGCGACAGAATCAAACACAGGCCCATTAAGTCCATGCTACAGCCACCGATTTAAGCACTTTTAAAAAAAGAAAAAAAAAACACAAAACTTTTTATTAACACCTTAATGGTGTTTTTTAATATAATATCCATTACTAAGCTTAAAAAAAAATAGTTTCTAGTAATTCTGCGGCATAAAGTGCCCATTTTCTCTCTTCTGATTTATATCATTGTTCTGTTTTTACAGCTTACTGTTGACAGAGTGAGGTAATTCAACTACAATTTTTCCAGTGTTTTTTCCCATGTACATGTAATCTACAGCATGGAATACAGACTCCAAGCCAGTGAACTTGCCCTCTGGAGACATGTCTCCAAAGTCCACCTCACAAACCAGGTCTCCTCTTTCATACATCTTGAGCAAGTGCTTCAGAGCCATTTTGTATTCGGAAAGGTAATGGTTCAAGAAGAAACCCCGGATGCTGGCAGACTTCTTCAATAGTTTTGCTGGCAATAACTCTGCTTTAATGGGCTGGAGGCCAGTAGGGTTTTGGTAGCCAGAGATAAACCCAATAACTATCAGGCGCCCTTTGGTAGCCAAGGAGTTAAGAGCCAAGTCAAACATCTTTCCCCCAACAGATTCATACACTACATCCACACCTTCGGGGTAGTGCTTCCTAAGAACAGATTCAACATTTTCAGTTTTATAGTTGATTATGCGGTCACAGCCAATGGATTTCAGAAAACCGCCCTTTTCATCACTGGAGCAGGTTCCAATTACGTGGCATTTTGCCGCCTTTGCAAGCTGCACGGCAAACTGGCCCGTTCCTCCAGCCGCTGCCGTCACCAGAACCTTCTCGCCTTCAGACAGCTCTCCCAGCTCTTTCAAACTGATGTATGCGGTAGCACCACTTACCATTAAAGTCAGAAACTCGGGTTTCACAGAGGGTAGAGGGACTGCTTGTTTGGCAGGCACAACGGTGTACTCAGCAAAGGAACCTGCTTTCACGTAGGCCACAGCTTGACCCACTGTATAATCAGCACTAGCACTGAGTCCTAACGCTACCACTTCACCGACACCTTCAAAACCTATATCAAACGGGGGTTTAACCGATGCATCATATCGACCAGCTGAGTAGTTTATGTCAGATGCATTAATGCCGACAAATCTAGAAGAAAACAAAAATGTATTAACGACATTAATTCCTTACCCAGTCTTTGTCGCATGAGAAACCTTCAATTTAATTGTGGGATAAGTACGAGACTTTTTCTGATTATTGGTACATTTGAATAACGAGTACACTCCAGAGACTACTTCCACCAGACTTTTGTAGTTTACATTCTGTTGCTACGGAAGTAAAGATAAATTTTTGAAAAGAAAAACAAACAAACAAACAACAACAACAACAACAAATAATTCTCTTTTCCTCAGGTTCATTTGACCAAATTAAGCAAACTAAAAATAATTCCGTAAAAGATTAAAGGATGAAAATTAATTGACCACTTTATACAAGATGTGAAAATACTGAAGAATAAAACGTGCAAAGCGGTAAATACGTGGATTCTGGCAACAAATTTACATTTTTGAATATAATAATACTGTTAATGACTAACGATCATATTAACTATCGATGTCATTTGCAAGGTCATGTTACTGTAGGCAAGTACTTTTTAATTGATGGAGTCACTACAGCAAATTTGCCTTTTGATGTAGCTAATGTCAATGTTAAAATATTTTTCTTTATATAAATTACTTGCAACATATCAAAACAACCTTGCGCAGAAGGACTAAAATTATAAGACTGAGTATCAAGTCTTACTGACCTCTAACAGGTGAAAATGGATGCTAATTTTTTTTTTATAAAAAGAGAGACATTCTCACGACTTGATTCAACACTAGGAGATAATGCCTAAAAGAAAGTTATGATCTAGCTTAAACGCAAACAATACTTTATTAACTTCAAGAAAAATCCCAGACAACATAATAATATCTCTACGCAGGAAAGGGAAGAGAGACCGGGGAAGATTCTGTTAACTGGAAAATGTAAAAAAGAAACACATACAACAGGAAACACCAGGACTTTCACGACATATGGAAGTGACAACCTGAAGGGCGTACCTGATACCGTGCAGAAGCTGCAGAAGTATGCACACAGAGCACTTTTAATTGTTGTAGTTAGCAGTAGGCTCAAATTATGTGTGTAGTTTTAAACTGTTTGCGCACACAGCAAGAAGACCTAAAACCGCTTTGCTGATTTTGATTTCCTTCAGTCTTTATAGCATGGGGACCCTCAAACTTCCACCAACGTAATGTGTTACATGTAAAAAGACACATACACATAAACATATCCATGCATAAAATAGGTGGAAGTGACCATTGGCTCTTTTTAATTCTGCCTTTAATTCACTGCTCGGCCGCGACAAAAAGACGCCTGTCTCCTTCGTAGATACAAGAAATCCTCTATTGTCCTGCTTCAAGGTAACTCCTATAGAGCCCTGCTAAAACATGTATAAAAACTGGTAACGGAGCAGCAGGCTCGGAGGCAAAGCGAGTCCCCCGGGCGCCAGGGAGAAGGGCTCGGAGCACCGAGGCGAGACGTGCCGGCGCTGCACCAGCCTCCTCGCGCTTTTACACCCCAACTTCTGTGGAAGGGAGCGGAGGGCGAGAGGCCGGCAGGGAGCTGTGCTCGCCCCCCCTCCCCGCTCTCAGCCCGTCGCTCAGAAGCTCTCGGTAGCCGCCGGGCCAGCCCCCAGGCGCTCCCCCTGCTCCCGCAGCAGCCAGGTCCCCGCTCCCCGCGGGGCTGAGCCTCCCTCCGCGCATCAGCTTGCTCGCGGTGCGGGGCAGCGCGCTCTGGAGAAGGAGGAGGGGGGGGGATGCTGGGGGGGGGGGGAGAGCAGTGCTAATAGTAACAAGCCCCCCGTCTCCCTCCCTCTGGGAGTTTCTCCATCTTCTCGGCGCTGCACTGCAGCGGGGAGAGCACAAAGGCAGGGCAAAACCCTCCGAGGACACAAAAAAAAAAAAAAAAAAAAGCAACTTTGCGTGCGGGGAAGGGGCCGGACGCCCGACGAGCGGGACTGCAGCACCCGCACCGCTGCTTTTGTTCCGGAGCCGGGGGGGGGGGCTGCGCACCCCCTCCCCGCCCGGGCCGCACCGCCGCTTGCGCGGGCGGGCGGCTGCAGGGGCCTCGCCGCGCAAGTTGGCGCTCCCGGCCGCTCCCCGCCCCGGGCGAGGTGCGGGACTTTCCGCGGGGCGGGCGCGGGTGGGGGGAGACCGCTGCCCCGCGGCCCCGGCGCTGGCTGCGCGCAGGCGGAGCGGTGGCGCGGAGCGGGAGCGCGGCCGTGCTGCCGGGGGGGGGCTGGGGCGGACAAAGCCGCCCTCCCCCCACCCCTCGCACACGGACACGCGTGCATGCACACGGACACGGACTGCGTGCACACGCACCCGCACCCTCCCCGGCTCTGCGGGGCTGCCGGGCCGCGGGAATGGTTCTCCCTGGGCTCCCGGGCTCATCATTATTAATCAATACAGCCTGCTGCCTCCCGGCCCTACCCCCCCTAATTTTTTGAAAACTCTCTTTTTATTGTGTGCAAACTCAAAACTCCTGTTCGCATCGTACAGGCTTTTTTTTTTTTTTTTTTTTTTTTTTTTTTGCTTTGCCTCTTTTTTTTTTTTTTTTTTTACCCTAAGATTGTCTAGTCTCTTAGATTCCTCACACATTAAAACGATCGTATGCAGTGTCTGGATTAAAACATATTGTCTAATTTGCCTTGTCATTCCAGTTGACAGAAGGGATGTGGTAGGATGTGCCCGCAATTTCTTAGATTATTTTGCTTTTAAAAGTAGGAATGAGTACAATTTACAAGTTGAAGATCAGTTTACTAACTTCTGAGACTGAGAAAAGGAGAGCACAGAAGTAACAATTACTTGGGGTGCGGGTGGGTTTTAAGACCCCTTCCAGATCTTTTATATTGTCTTGTTTTACCTTCTTACTGAAAACATAGTATTTAATTTAGCAGTTTCTAATTGAGGCTTGCTCCTTTGACGTTTCAAGATTTAAACCTGACAGGAAAAAAAAAAAAAAAAAAAAAAAAAAAAAAAAGCTAGAGATTGGCTTTTCCCAAAATAATTATGCACATTGAGTCACCCGTCTTATTTATACTCAACAGTGTTGAGCCCCCTCGTATTGTTTATTACAGAAAACAGGAGGACACCGCCGAGGGGAGGAAATGCTGCTTTTTGTACCACAACAAAGCGTGAGACACTGAAAACCAGCACCACAGCCTTAAACACAGACAAAACAAAGTCATACAAACCAGTACTATGCAAGAAAAACATTATTTAGACCAAACACTCAGCAGGAATAGTCCTCCACTTTTCCCACTGTGATCCATTAGTCCCTTGGTTCAAAAAACTTTCTCATCCTCTCTTACTCCCTTTTCTAGAAACTTTGTTTCCATCTTCCAGACCAACAGTAAATCCTTGCAGGTATTTTCGAAACAAAATGTGTCACTTTGTCAAGAAAATCTTGAAAATACCCCAACAACTTCAAGAAGGACCAAACGTTCATAGCCTTTGGGCCCTACTCCTTCAATAAAACAGAGGAACCTAGCCTCCCCCCACCCCCGAAACCAGGACAAACAGACATACGAAGCTTAAATGGCTTCGTTAGGGATTTTTTCTTCAACTTTTCCCCTCCTTCTCCTCTCCTACACCCAATCGAAGTAAACAAAAATTGTTTTAAATAGTTTTCTAGTGTTGAAGAAATTCTGAATAAAGGATGGATTATATTTATCTTTGCAAAAAAGAAAAAAAAAATAGAAATAGGGGTTGCTGGCTTAGTTCTCTAAAGGACGAGGACAAGGAGCATAAAGTTCCCCCTAACTGCCTCTTATTTTAAAGTATCTATCCATACAGGAACTCAGAACATTTTAATTCCCATTCCCCTAAATCCAAAACCAGATTTTATTGTGGTGGATGAGGATTGTTTTGCATAAAAAGCTCAAAGCAATTAATACTGTTCATGGGCGTGACTGGGACTAAAATGAACAAATCCGCAAATGCACTCTTGGAACTCAAGTCCTTTATTGTTTTGTTTTTAATTGTATGTTTCTACCTATTAGAAAATGTATAGTTGTATTTAGGGCTTGTTTTTTTAAAAACTAAATAGAGCCAGGGTCTTATCCTTTTGAGATGGAAAAATGCTTCCCCAGAGTGACAAGAGAGGGGGAAACATCCAGAACTGACTTCCTGATGCAGCTCATCTATATAAAATGTTTTTCAGTAACGTGATCTTGTGTCTTCTGTGATATTCCCCAGAAAATAATAATAAATAGAGAGGAAATGCCACAGAACCCCGAATAATACAAAACGTATGAACTCTAAATCTAGACTTCATCACTCACCTCTCCCTCCCCTCCATCCCCTCTCGTGCGTGTGTGTCTGTACAGGAATTTCTGTGTAATAGGCTGATGTGTTAAAATCCAGTAATTGCCTGCCTGAATCCGTGGACCAGCTCTTGCCTTTAGTCTGATACAAGCTCTGCGCCTCAGGTCTTTTACCATGAAGTGTGTACATCCCCCTAGCACCCAGGGAGCCCACCCAGCAAAGGGAGGGAGGAGAGGGAGAAAGGAAGAGAAAGGAAGAGTTACACTGCAAGCTGTATAAAAAATGAATAAATTTTAAAAATTCACAGGAAGCGGGGGGGGTGGTGGTGGTGGGAAGGATGCGAAAGACTTTAAGTGTGTGTGTTGGGGGGGGGGGGGGGAGGGGATTTGAGAAACAAGGATGTCGTTCTGCCTTGCATTACCCAAGTAGAGACTTGCTACTTGTATCTCGTGTCTTTTGACTTCTTCCATGAAAAGGAATTTAACTTCAACCTGATGGTTGTTTCATGACATTACTGTTTCACGGTCATTAGTGGATGAAGTAACACAGTGTTTTAGACCTTGAGGTTTGGAGGGAATTTTGGTCTCAGAAATCCTAGTGGGAGATGTCAGCATCGGATTAAAGTGCCACAGAAGCTTTCTCATCAGCTCCTGGAGGAGTCCCTGTTCTTCTTTCTCCTTACCCCTTCCTCACTATGTATTTATGTGTTACATATGGACACATGCTAGAGATTACAGATGCACACACACCATACACACGCAGTCACACACGGCCTTGACAGACCTTCCAGCATTGTTCTCGAGCCAACTTAGTGCTTTTTAACATCGTTAAGCTCCAAAGGAGAACATGGCAAACTATGTGTTACTACAATTTCCTTGCTTGACAAGAACCTGAGGGTGCTGCTCTCTTCTGTGCCAGCCATGCAGTCTGCTCCGAAGTTCCCAGAGTTTCAGCTTCCCCTCGTGGGCAGAGAAACCTCTGAACTTTAAAAGGCTTACTTTTAGCTTAAGGAACGACAACGCCTAGGAAGCAGCCACCGAGATCAAACAGGTTTATGGAGACAGCTCGGGGATGGGGGGGGGGGGGGCGCAAGTTTTGTCTTCAGAGTCTTCATTTCATGGCGAAGCTGGTGACCGCGCCGGACACGCTGGCGCAGGATTTACGGCGTGTTATGTTAAGCAAAATGTCACCTCCTCACTCTCCGCCCGGCCCGGCTCCGCTCTAAATGCCGCCAACAACTGCGGGCTCGCGTCCCGCCGCGCCGAGCCGAGCCGTGCCGAGCCGAGCCGAGCCGTGCCGAGCCGAGCCGAGCCGCTGCCCTGCCCCCCCCTCCTCGCCGCCCGCTTTTGGCGCGCAGAGGCGGGGGGGGGGGGGGGGGGGCGCGGGCCGCTGCCTCCCCGGTGAGTCACGGCCGGCTGAGGGAGGGCCGGGGGCGGGGGGGGGGGCGGCGTGCGGGGCCGCCCGGGGGGAGAGCGGCTCGCCCGCACATCGCGGCTGTCGGGGGAGGGGGGCACAGGGCCGTATGTTAGCGTCCCCCGGACACTTCCGTGGGTCCGATGGGGACGCGCTCACGCCCCGGGAACGAGGTGCGTGTAACGAGCCCGGGCAAGGAGCTGGGAGGGACGAGCAAGCGCTTGCCGGCGCCTCAGTCCCCCCCCCTCGGCGCTCACTGACCGTAAAACTTGCCTCTCCCCCGCCTCGGCGCAGGGGCCCTGCGGCGTTTCTCCTCCTTCGGGCAGGCGGCCGCCAGCAGCGGCGCGCACCCACGCACATGCACCCCCCCACCAGGGAAAGAGGAGGAGGAAGCGTCACCCCCCCACACACACACGTGGACGGGGCGACCGACCGGACGGTAGCACCAGCCGTTCGGGACAACAAGAATAAAATTAAATTAACAGTCGGCAGATGGCAGCTGGCACGGCTTCGGAGCCGGTCCCCACGGCGAGGGAGCAGGCCGCGCGGTGCGGGGGGCGGTGGCGGGGCCGGGGCGCGGGGGGCCGGGCGGGCGCTCACCTGTTCCTGACAAGGAGGTCTCCGTCTCCCGGCAGCGGCACCGGCGAGTCCCGCCGCAGGGTAACCGCTTCCCTGAAGTTTTGGCTCAGCTTAGTCACCACCAGCTTCTTCATGGAGCTGGGGATGGACGAGCCCTGGAAATCCAGAAAGTGACGGGAGTAGGACATGTCCAGGATGGGCCGCGGCCGGGTGCCGCCGAAGCAGGACCAGGCGGGAGCCGCCGCGGCGCCGGCCGGCTGCTGCCGCCGCCGCCACCAGCACCGCGGTGCCCGGGAGCGCAGCAAAGCGCCGCTTTTCGCGCTGAAACTCATGCCCTGCCTCGGCTCTCCTCTCCCCCCACCCCCCCCGGCGCTCGGGAAAGCTCCAGCTCGGGGTTCTCCAAGCAGCTCGCAGGGTCCCCCACCGCCACCGGGAGAGAACTCTCCGCGCGCAGCGATTTGTGTACGTAAATAAAGCCCCGGCGCAGCCTGCCTCCGTGTGTCCCCCCCCCCCCCCCCGCCGCACCGAAGGTGGTCCCCGGCAGCCGGTCGTCTGCTGCTGCCGCCAGCGCTCCCGCGGAGCAACGCCGGCCCGCTCCCGCGTCCCGCGAGCCCGCCGCGCCGCCCGTGGCTGCTCCGCCCGGCTCGCCGCACCCCGCACACGCCGGCACCGCCTGCCCCCCCGCCTGCCCGCGGGCACGGCTACGGGGGCCGCGCTCCTTCTGGCAGGCAGAGGGGCCAGAGGCTGCGTTCTCTCCCAGGGCTTGCTTTTAATTCGCGCGCGGCCTCTGACCGAGGGGCTTCAAAAACAGGAGAGAGAAAGAGACAGGGAGAGGAACGCCTCGGATCGCACACCGCCCCCCACCCAGTCCCCTGCGCCCCGTTCTTTAGTTTACAAAAAGGTTATCTTTCTACCAAAAAAAAAAAAAAAAAAAAAAAAAGTAGGAAGAGAGCACGATAAATTATCAGGTCGATAAGGTTAGAGAAGTGGAGAGAAGTCGCAGCTAATCTCCTCATGTTGTTATTAGCCGCCGCCGCGGAGCCGCTGCCTGCGGGCGGAGGCTCCGCCCCTTCCGTGCGAAACGTTCACTTCCTCGCAAGGTGGTACGAATCAACCCCGAGCCGTTGGCGGCGGCGCGCGGGCGCGGCGCGGGGGGCCACGGGCTACACGCGCGCGCTCGCGGCGGCGGCGGCCGGTGGGGCGGCCGGGACGCGGGCCCCACGCGCGGCGTGCGAGGGTGTTAGTTTTGTTTTTTTTTTTTTTTTTTTAAAAAAAAAAAAAAAAAAGGGCTGAAAGCTCCTCCCGCCCGCCCGCCGGGAGAGCTGCGCAGGGTGCCCCGGGCGGGCGGCACCCCTCCCGCCGCCGTCCCGCGGGGCGTGGAGGGGAAAGGTGAACGGGCTGCTGTCAGTTTGTTGGGGTCGCAGGGTTTCCCCCGCCGTCGGAAAAAAGCCTTTTTTTTTTTTTTCCTCCTCTTTTTTTTTTTTTTTTTTTTTTTTTTTTTTAGAAAATCACTTCTCGCTGTAGAATACATTTGGGAGAGGGAACCTGCGCAGGAAATCGGCTGGGTCAAGGGACCAAAGTAAATGTTGTGATAGAGCCGCCAATCCCAACTTGGTACAAGTGCGTGGAGGGAGGGAGGGAGGTAATGTGTAATAGAGATGTTGCGCCGGTGTCGGAGGAGCTCACGTGTAATTCCTAGAATTAACTCCATCCTACCAGTATAAACAGCTCACTGCTTAATTGTGCGGTATTAATAATTAAAAACAACAACAAAAAAGAATAAATCCCCCTCTGCCCGAAAGAGAGCAAAATTGCAGTTCCGAGTGTTTTCCTTTAGGAATCAGCTGGGTAGTTTTTATTTGCTTTCTCGACTTAAAAAAGGGAAGAACCCTTCTGTTCTTGCAGTTAACATTATATAAATCCCCAGACACATACTGTGCAAAATCTATTAGCAGCATGTTTCATATGCTGCAGTTCTTGCTCTGCAATCTGTTGGTATTTTAAAGTAAGGATGAACTGTAAT